AGTTTGAGGTTGCTGTGAGCTGTGATGACACCACTAGACTCTAGCCTGGGTAATAGAACAAGATTGTGTCTCCAAAAAATTAAAATATTGAAAAAGATTATATGAGTTAATACAAGTGATAAGATTAGTACCTGGCATATACTAAGTGCTCAGTAATTATTTAGCTATTATTAATTGTTTTTATTACTATCACTACAATTATCATTGCAGATAATCCCTATTAAAACACAGGGAGGTGGGGGTGGCACCTACCACAGGTGCCACCTCCATATACGGGAGGTGGCGGGTTCAAACCCGGTCCTGAACCAAAAACTGCAAAAAAAAAAAAAAAACTCAGGGAGATGATTATTATTGCTTCCACTTTATAGAAGAGAAATTGGAGGCTCAGAGAAGTTGAGAATATTGCTTAACATCACAGTTAGTGCTGGCACTGGAATAAGACTCTTGACTCAAACTCCAATATTCTTTCTCCCACTCACCCTACCTTGGCAATGAGAGGCTATAAATAAATCTATCGAAATCAGCAAAGATGTCTTCCTTACATTTCTAACTTCAAAGTGGCATAATAGTTATATGTAAAAATAATATTCATCAAAAGCCAGCACCCTCAGAGATGGCTACTTTAAAAAGAACATTATTCATTGTTATGCATTTACTTCAGACAGGACAAAGTCCTTTAAGATTCTAAATCTCTTGCTGTGTCAAATAGCTTGGAAGACTGGCAGATTAGAAAGAAAAGGCACCAGTTCAGCTATCAGAATCTCCGTTTGAGTCCTGGCATTGGCTGTGACATCTTGGACAATTTATCCAAACCCTCTTTACTTCAAGTGATGACTGCAGGGATTAAATGAAATAATGCACGTTAGTACAATGTGAACCATAGAGCTCTGGGAACATATAAGCTATCCCTGTTACCATCACAATCCAGATGCCAGTAAAAACTGAACATAAGCTCAAAGGCAAAACTGTCCAGCCTTTCTGAAGCAATCCTTTAATAGATAAATGAATTTGAATGAAATTCCTCAGCATTTTACATCACTTCCATTCCTAGAAACTGTGAGCTAAAAAAAGAACAGAGATGTTCACTTGGAAATTCCAACTCGTTTTTCTTCTTTCTACTTTTTGGAACTGAAGAATATTCAAATATTACATCCTTTCATCTCCTAAGCCTCCATATAGAAACCAGATGAGGAATACTTTTGTTCCAGAGGGCAAGACCCACCATTGCATGGCTGTTAAGGAGTGTAAATAGTTTGTTCCCTACACATTACAAAAAACTGGGGCGACCACAGTGGCTCATTTCAGTGAGGAAGTGGAGAACCTTTCTGCTTTCAGCTGCCTGCAGAGCCAGTCAAAAGAGAAATCTGCAAGCTCCAACTTTCCCATCCAAATAACCAAGCATAAATGGAAGAAAAAGGAAATACTAAAATGAGGAAATGGCATGTCTGGCTTACTCTCAGCAGCAACCCTCCCACATGACCTGCAAAATCCATCCCTGCTCCTGACTACAATCCTACTGTTCTTATCTGACCAGTCACATCATTTAAAATCGCTCTCCAAATATCTAGTTGTTTTAACTCCCGTATGAATTCCCCAACTTGCACTAAATAAAGTTCTATTTCCCTATGGGCTAGACAGTAAGGCCTCTTGCTTCCTCTTCTCTGCTTTAGAAAACCTGAAGTAGGACTGTTAACCCTTGCATAAGAGGTTAGAGGGTAAAATTCTAGAAAAACCTGAATCTATCCGGAAAAAAAAGATAATCAAATACTGATTTTTTAAAGAGCACCCCTTCACATATAAGAGATCATGAGAAAAGTCTGGCCTGTGACCTGGTCACTTCACCAGTGGACTATCCGTCCTCATACACACACACACACAAATCCGCTTACTCTCTCCTCAATAATCAAATGTGAGTATGCTGCCAAAAATCAGCAGAAAGATGAAAATAGGCAGAAAAAAAGGTAGGATTCAGAGAAAACAGACAATGCAGAATAATCTTAAAAACAAAAAGAAAGAAAGCATTTGGTTAATATCCTCAAAGAGAAAAGAGAAACAAGAAGAAATACTAAAGCAAAATAGTGAATAGAGATCAAGAAAGAACTCTTGATTGCATGTGAAAACCCCACACTGTACCCCAGAAGTGCATTAATGTACATAGTTACCATTCAATAAAAAAAAAAAAGAGAAAGAACTCTTGTATATTAGATACAAGAAATTTTATTTTATTTTATTTTACTTTATTTATTTATTTTTTGAGACAGAGTCTCACTATGTCACACTTGGTAGAGTCCCATGGCATCACAGCATACAGCTTACAGCAACCTCAGACTTTTGGGCTTAAGCAATTCTCTTGCCTCAGCCTGCCAAGTAGGTGGGACTACAGGTGCCTGCCACAAAGCCTGGAAGTTTTTTTGTTGTTGTTGTCATTGTTTAGCAGGGCCAGCTTCAAACCCAACAGCCCCAGTGTATGTGGCCAGCGCCCTAACCACTGAGCAATAAGCACCGAGCCAGATACAAGAACTTTTAAAGTATCAAGAAAAAGGCCCAAAGATGAAGTCAGAAAAATAGTTTAGAAAGTAGAACAAAAGAGCAAGGATATGGTAAATAAAAGATAAAAGAAGAAATTAGAGGCTTCATTTCAAAGACACATCATCTAAATAAGAGGAAAATCAGAAATATAGAATACTCGGGCAGAAATAAATAAAAATAATAAAGAATAAAGAAGTAATAAAAGACAATTTCTGAAAAATTGAAAGACATACCTTCAGACTAAAAGAGCTTACAAACTACCCAGCACAAAAATTAGAAAACAAGGCCAGGCACAATGGTTCATGCCTGTAATCAAGCAATTTGGGAGGCTGAAGTGCGTGGATCATTTGAGCTCCGGAGTTCAGTACCAGCCTGAGCAAAAGTGAGACCCTATCTCTAAAAAACAGCTGGGCATTGTGGGGGCCACCTGTAGTCCCGGCTAACTTAGGAGACTGAAGAAAGAGGATTGCTTTGGCCCAAAAGTTTGAGGTTGCTGTGAACTATGATGCCACAGCATTCTACCCAGGGTAACAAAGTGAGACTCTGTCTCAAATAATAATAATAATAATAAAGAATTAGAAAAGCACCCACACCAAGTATATCACTGTAGAATTTAAAAATATGGAGATAACCTTAAAAGTTAATTGGCAGGGGTGGGGAAGGGATAGGTCATACACAAAGGTATAAGAATAGGAACAGTATCAGACATCTTAACACCACAAATGACACCAAAGAGTAATGCCTTTAAAATTGAGTTAATGATGATTTTATTGTAGAATTCTAAACCATAAAAATTATTGATCAAGATATGGTATCACATATACAAGGATTCAAAACATTTACATCTATGTACCATTTCCCAAAAAGCTACTGACTGACGTACTACAGTAAAAATGAGGACTGAGTTTATAAAACAAATAGTGAACATAAGACAGTAGTGAACAGAAATTTAAGGACAGTAGCTACCCAGTGGACCCAGAAAAAAACTTCTCTGTATTGTTATTTAGAGGCTCCAGGAAGAAAGTCTGGGCAGAGGGAAGGCAATAATGAGCAGACAGGAAATATATTATTACATGCTTGACAAAGACACTGCAGATTTCAATAAAAAACACTGATTGGTAGCAAACAAAATAAAAGTCAAGGTAATTACCAACTCTGGGAAAAACAAAGGGCTATAAAAAAAAAAAGGAGCCACAAGCACATTTCCCTGTAGGCTCAGCAGTGGAAAATATTTGTATAAATCATAATACATAAACCTTAACTACTGATTTAATAAAATGCTTCATACTGTTAAATAACTTTAATGAGGGGATGGACAGAAAGGAATCATGTGACGCATAAGAGAACTATCATCTTTCCCCTTTATTCAGCAAGTGAAAAGCAAGTAACAGATGCACATTTAGGAATACAAGAATAAACAGCAGGGAAATAGCCAGAAGCATTGTTGTATAAAAATGCATAAATACTTTAGAACACATAAATATGATCATATAAAATATATATCTCTAGGGAGGTGGCCTGAAGGGTGAAAAAAGGCACTGTTACTTTTTCTTTATAAGTTTCATATATTTTGGTCTTCAAAAGTATGACTACCTATTACACTGATTTAAAAGTATATATTTTGACAGCTAAAATTAAAAATATTTATAACTGAATGATTTAACTAAACCTGGGGGTCATAAAATAGGTAACTAGCCTCAAATCAAGTCATTGAAATCTCGCACTCTTGTAAAGGCATGCTTTCCTCTGCCTTTGAAATTATACCACTTCAAAAATGAGAAGGCTTTGTTGATACAACCACTGCTTTGATGGTACAGATAGACTCCAAAATGTCTTATGGAACTTCTAATTACTCTGATTTATCACAGGCACAAATGGAAAGTACCTCTTTGCTAATATTTTCATAACTGATCCAAAGCATAATTTCTATACTGTTTGTGTTTTTAGTCATTAGAGTCCACATTAAATGCTGATACTGTAAGTTGCTGGTATTGGTCTAATCAGACTAATATCCATTGTTTTTTATACCAATATTTATACACTTCATAAATACCCAAACAAAGCGTAACCTTTTTTCTCCCAGTAAAGGTAATTCTTTGGAATGATAGAATTGCCTTTGAGCTTTCAAAATATATGCCTATAAACTATTAGTTTTCTAAATTAATAGAATGCAGGAACTACTTCTAAACCTAAAAATTTTACTAAAATGATGCCAGACCGTCTCACAATCTCCTCTAAAGTTTGGCTTTTGTCCAAAGCAAGCCACATACTCTGCTCCATTAGTTTTCAGTCTTTCTGAACTAGATATGTTTAGGCTTAGAAATAATGAGGTTAGGACTATTCAAACATATGCACTCATGGGTAATAACTGCTAATTAGTACACATGCAATCAAACCCATTTGTTGTGGTTTAGCTTTAAAAACAGACAAGTTAATTCAAATGTGGCATTTAGGAAAAGTGGTTTGTTTACCTCTGTTGGTTTGTAGCAGTCTACAAGAGCTTCCTAGAATTAAAGACACAGAAAGTAAGTTTTATTATTTTAAAATTCAATATCATTTTTACAAAGAAATTAAAACTGTTTTATCTCTATAGTATTATTTTTAAGATGTTAAATAAAGATCACATTGACTACCCGGAAACACATTTTATTTCAGCACCAGTTAGATATGTGAAGAGAGAAAAAAAGTTGTAGTCTTAATATAATCTGTTCCTTGGGGCACACACACATGCATGCTGCGTGAAAAGGCTTTTGGATAGGAAAAGTTTTTTTAATACTATCATAGCATTGAAAAAATACGACCCTTGAGTTACGAACACCTTGCTGAGGAAAAGAGCTTTTTTTACAGAAGGATGGGGGCATTGAGGTGCCCTCCAAGTTGTAGTCTGCAGCCTTCCACAGGAACCAGGCCCCACACTGCCATTTTCCTTTAACTGAATGTAACCCAGAGAGGTCCAACTCTTTTCAAACCTACCCACCTGGTGAATGACTTTTTACCCTGACTTTATGCTCATCCACATCTATCCACACACCTTTCCCTCAGGCTGCCAATCTGGCTAACATTAAACTGGTTATACTTAAGGTTGAGACAACTTGTGTGAGAGGGTGACAATCACACTGGACTCAGACAGGAAGGCATTTGACTGTGATTCAGCCACAGACCAGCTTGGGACATAACCTCTGCAGGCCTTGATATCCTCACCTGGAAACTTAGAGGGTGGGGTGACCTGATGATAGCTTATAAAGCCTCTTTCAAGTTCTCAATTTTAATTAAAAAGAAAAAAATTTTTGCAGTTTTTTGGCTGGGGCCTGGTTTTAACCCGCCACCTCTGTTATATGGGGCTGGCGCCCTACTCCTTGAGCCACAGGCGCCACCCTAAAAAATATTTTTTAAGATGGGGTCTCACTCTGTTGCCTGAATGTTGCTAGAATATGGTGGTATTATCATAGCTCATGGAAAACTCAAACTCCTGGGCTCAAGTGATTCTTCTGCTTCAGCCTCCTGAGTAACTGGGATATAGGCACTCACCACCACTCCTGGCTAACTTTTCTATTTTTTGTAAAGATGAGTTCTTGCTATGTTGTTCAGGCTGGTCTTGCACTCCTGATCTTAAGCAATCCTCTCGCCTCACCTCTCAAAATGCTGGGATTACAGGTGTGAGTCACTGTACTCAGCCAATTTTAACAAAGCTTTTTTAATGCCATTATGATTCCCATAAAAATGGTGTCTGCTTTACCATGTTTTTTTTTTTACTCTTTATAAGTGGAATGCTATTATCTCCCAACTAAATCTATCAACAAGAAATAATCTTTGTAAGTAAGACTGTTCACCATTCAAAAGATGCTAATAATTATTAATACACATACATTAAACACATTAAGACATTAAAATGTGACTTTTGATTGCCTTAGTGACCCTTTGCCATTGGTGATAACCAATAGCCATTAACAGTAATTATCAGTAGACATTAAGAATAATGGCAGGTAAAGGTTAATTGGTTTTAAAAACACTCAAATGCACACTTTTAAAATGATGGATTTGACCTCCCATGGGAAGGGAAGTAAGGACTGTATTTTACTGCTCTCCACTAGGGATATAATTGACATCTCAATATCCATTATTGACGCTTCACCTGACCATGCTGTCAGATGAGCACTATCCATTAAAAGATAGTTTAATAAACAGAATTATATCATAAGTGATCTTATCCAGAAATTAATTTCATGAATGATAGAATCCACAGCTTCGAGGCCAGAGCCCTGGGCTTGGATACCGAGTCCTATCTCCGCCCCTCTCCTTCCCACACAACTCTGCGGCAGCACTTTCGCACTTTCTTCCCTGGCAAATGGATCTTTGGAGGCAGGACCAGCTCTCTGCCAAGAAAACAAGGCTGGAGAAAGTCATACCCACAAGGTGCTTTGAGAACTGACTGTGGCCAAGAGCTGCTTTACCATCGAAGATCAAGTTAGTTTATCAGGGTAAAACTCAGCAGCCCTCTGCGTTCCTCTCTGCAAACAGCCACTGCCAACACTGCCACAGGGCAGAATCTATTCATGCCAAGCTCTGGAGACCCAACTGGATTCAGGTATCCAAGATCAGAAGGTTCTAGAAACCTGCTTACCTGTAATTTTAAAGCTCTCTCTTCCTCACTGTCTGCATCAAGAAGATCATCAATGTCAATTTCTACATCTGGCATTTCTTCCTCCTGCAAGGAAGGGGGTGAGGGGATGAGGCATTTAATTTAGTGGGAAACTGAACTGTGCCAAACCAACGTGGTTGAGTTAAACAAATGACTAGATCATCAATTGAGAGGGAATGATGGACAAAAAGTGGGGAAGGAGAGACTAGGGAAAGAGGAGAGAAGGAGGAGAAGAAGGGGAGGAAAGAGAAAAGGGAAGATGGGGGGAAGGAGAAGGTAGATGGAAGGAAGGAAGGGAGGGAGGAAAAACAGAGGAAGGGAGAAAAGGAGGCAGTAAAAAGGGGGGAACAAAGGAATACTCAGAGACACAAGCAGTAAAAATATTTCAAATGTGATCATTTCTACTTTCTAGCAGGAAGCTGCAAAGCTGCATCCATAAATGTTTAATGGGGGATTAGAAGATCATAGAAAGATCAGCCTAAGTGCGGTTCCTACTTAACATCCACCCCTTGCCGGGTGACTCCCCCAGTCCTTCCTCGGGTTCCACCTCTCCCTCCCCAGCTCTGAGTCTGTGGAAAACTTGATTCCACCACAGGCTTTTGAGCATTGGCATCTTTCCAGTCCCTGTTACTGATTCAAGAAAGGACGTGTGAGTCAACAGAGACGCCCGGGGTGCTGGGAAATGATGCTCTTTTCAGAAGACCATCCCTTCATCCCTCCACGCTGAGAGCACACTGAGGAAGCACATGGCCCCGGAAATCGCTGGCAGCTCCCACGCAACCCCAAAGCCAAGCGGAGTTTAGGATGAAGTTGGGCAGAACGGGGCAGGGCCGGGAGGAATAAGAAAACAGCATTCCAGATAAAATCACCAGGGCCCAGGTCAAACCATCTGGGCTAACCTCTCATTTCTTCTGTCACCTAAGTCTTCCTATACCTCTAAAAATGGCATTTCAAGATAAGAGAGTCCTGCAATTTTGCATTTCATCTTCCTATTAGGAGTTACCTGTGACTCAACTTCTTCTGGCCACAGGGATGACTCAGGAATGGCTACAGGAGATAGAGAGAAAGAGGACACCTGGGCATTCCCCTGGGCTTAACTGCTCTGTGTAAGCCCTTTGCGTTGCCTCCCAGGCAAGGCTGACTTTCTGAATATTCCCTTTCCTGTGAGGTGCGTATATTACGCAACAGTACCCAACCTTCCGTGTGTATGTGTTGTTCCAATACCAAAGTGAGCTCCCCAGTATATTGGGGAAACAGGAATGCACCCAAGAACTCTTTTTTAACATTAGCTCCTGAGCACAGGCCCTCAATGGGCAAGAAAGTTCCAGAAACAATCCTTCCCCTGGGTCCTTAGTGATTTATTCCTGCTCCTGTGAAGAATTTCTGTTTAGATCCTGTGCAGCTGTTAAGTGGGATAACCACATCAAAACCAGTGTTTACCGGTATGCACATTTTTAGGTCCCATCCATGCAGTCCTTCCTATCGGAAGAGAGGCTTTGTGTTCCTCAACCTAATTTTCGTATTCATACTTAACAATCTCAGCAGAAGCTGATGATTGAGAACTAGGAAGTTGAAATGTTTTGATGAGAATAAGGAGGAAGGGTGACCTTTCTGCTACTAGAAGCGGGAGCTGTAGAGCAGCCAGCCAGGGTCAAGGCCAGCCCTGCCTCTAACTCACTGTGTGATTCTGGGCAAGTTTCTTGACCTCTCTGGCCTGTTTCCTCACCTGTGAAAAATGGGATAGTAAATAACAACTACCTGACCGGGTGAATGTCTGAGTTAAGTTAACTAACTGGCACTCAGTTCTCAGAATAATCCCTAGCACACAGCTCAGACAGGCTGAGCACTGATTGCTAGTTCTATGAGATGGAAAGACACATTGAGAAGCTCAGGAAAGAAAAAAAGAGAGAGAAGAAAACTGAACCTAAACTAGGGTGGCAATGCTAATACCTTCATCTTATCAGAGTCCAAAGTCTCTAAAAATAATAACAGAAGATGAAAAAAGCACATGCTAACGTTTGAAAGTATGTTCTCTCCAAAACCCATGTTGGAATTTGGTTGCCACCGTGGTGGTGTTGGTGGCGTGTCTGGGTTGGCATGTGTGCTCTAGTACATGCAGCCACAGGCCACATCAGCTCTGTCATCTACCACGCAGTTCCAAGCACCCCCAGCAGGTTTCAGCTGACTATGCAAGAAAAGCCAAGAAAAAGAGAAAAATCCACAAGTTTCGTCTGTGTAACAGGCTGTCCAGCCTCCCCCTTGTGTTCCCCTCCTCCTCCCCAAAACAGTCCTTTGGGTTCAGGAGTTTGATATACATATATATTTATGTCAAGAGTTTCTAATGAAATCTAGCAAAGGAAGCTGGATACAGAACCTACTAAAAGGAATCTCAGCTAAAGGGAGATGGGTGTCTGCTATTCCTAAAGGAAATAAAAGAACAGTAGGCAGCCGTGCCCTCCTCAGAACAGCACAGCAGCAGATTTCCCCGCAGACTTTATCCAGGCAGCCTTGATGCCTGCTCAGGTTTGGTCATACAGGCCCACCCAAGGCCTTTGTCCTCTCACCAGGACTGCACATGGCTCCCCCTAAGGGATGCATTTGACCCATTGTCCCAGCCCTTGAGATTTGGGTTGTCCAATGTGGTTAGCACATGTGGCATTTCAATTTAAATTCATTAAAATGAAATATAGTTAGGAATCCAATTCCTTAGTCACACTGGCCGCATCTCAAGTGCTGCATGGCCACATGCGGCTGTGGCTACTGCAGTGAGATAACACCTGCATCATCACAGAAGGCCCCACTGGACAGCACTGCCCCAGGCACTCACCCTCTGGCCCAGACTCAGGAGATGAAGACTCCCTTCCCCTCTCAAAGGGGCTTGACAGGAGTACAGGAAAGAGCTGGCATCTGAAGGTCACTCCCACTCCCCAGGGGCATGTGGCTCACGGCTTGCCAGCTCAGGGCATGGTCTTCCAAGTGGGAAAGCTGATGGTAACTGGGCACAGGTCTTCACTGACTAATGACAACTGTCCCTAGGCATCAGCACCTCCTACCACCCTCCACTGCCCCTCAGTGCCCCTCCCAGACTTTTCAGAGCAGAGGCAGAGTCCATACTCGGCATGCACATGGGGCATGTGGGGCAGGGTATTCTGAATGTCAGGGAGGCAGAAACAAACCCAGATGAGGTGTGGAGATGTGGGCAATGGAGGGATACAAGGGAGAGTCCTAGGAAGCAAAGGCAGTGTGTAGTGTCCAGTAGAGACTCCTGCTCAGATTCAGGACTTAATAGGATTGCTAATGGGGAATATGGAAGAATTCAAAATTCCACCTAAGTTCTTTTCTCTTCTGTGTGTTGCCGTGGAGCAATATCACTGAATGACCTTAGTCACAGAGCAAGTCACTTAGAAGGGACTGAACACAGCCATGGCCCACTGTGATGTCTCAAAGTGTAGTTGCGTTTGGGTATTTCTCCATGTTAAAGAGGTGACAAGAAGTGAAAACACTCATCTTTAGAGCTACTGGAAAATTTGCCAGCCAGCCCTGCCCACATTAGTCACAGGCTATCCCATTTGCAATCACAGAACAAGGTGCTGCGTCATCTCTGTGCATCCTCCTGCGTCTGCTGAGGACCCGCTGTGTGCTACGCAGTCTTGTGTCAGGCGTTGTAAGACTCCAGCGCTAGAGTGATGGCCCATCTGAGCATGGTCGTGACGAACAAAATGGCATGCAATGGTACCAACAGTCAGGGACACACCAGAGTGCTTTGGTGATTGCTTTGGTGACTTCGAGTGGGGAGGGGAGAGAAAGCTTGCATTGGGGACAGGCAGGAAGGTGTCACAGAGTTAGAGGAGGATGACAGGCTCTGGACAGATCTGGAGAAGAGGGCGCACAAAAGGCAAAGTGGTGCACAGTGAGTTCTAGACACGGGCCAGGAGTTGGGCAGCTTGTCTGCGAGGGCCAGACAGGTAACAGTCATGGGGACAGGTTGAAGGGCTCTATGGAATAGTGAGGAGTGTGGCAAACTGGAGAAAACATGGGACAGGGAAAGGTGCCAGGGAACACTCCATTGCCACCTCTGTCACCATTAGGAATATATCCTCAGTGCTGCCAAGTTTTCTAAGTTTTCAGGAAAAATAGACAATAGAGATTTTTAATGTAAAAGAGTCCCAATTTTTACAAGCTGGCTATTAATTCCTTGAAATATTGTCTAGGACAAATCAAATCTATCGGCTCACAGGCTGCCAGTTTCCCTTTGTTCCTCAGAGACTGCAGCCGCTGAGGGCTCCGGAGCAAGGGGATGGATAACAGAAGAGCTGGCGCAGGCAGCAAGGAGGACGGAGCTGCCAGGAAGTGGCCACTCGGCCAGGCTGAGGCATCAGGACTTGAAGGCAAGTCCTGCAAGAATGAAAAGAAGATTTTAAAACAGTAATAAGTGGCAAACACCAGCTCATTATGGCCTGTCTGGATATTTGTCTGAAAAACAGGCAAAATTTCTTACAGCGCACATTTCTAAAGAGTAGAGGAGAAAACTGGCATAGAAAGCCTACGAAAAGAACAGAAGCCTGGGGATTATGTGAGCTCTCTTGAAAATATTTGCATTTCATGTTTTCATCTTAATGAAAATCCAAAATACTTCCAGTAAGCAAGCATATTCTAAGAATGGAATGGATAGCTGTGCTATGCCCAGGTCGGGCCAGGCCCACTCTGTATTTACACTTAATTGTTATGGGAGAAAAAGCCAAGGAGTAGATTTTATATATAGATGACTCATTTACACCAAGTGAAGTCATAGGCTATCACACAAAGGACACTGAGCTGCAGCAATCTCTACCTAATTCCTGTTACAAAGTGAGTGCCATCAGCCATCACAGCAAGGGAATGTTTGCATTTGAGTTTCATGGCTGGACACTTTGCAATGCTGAAATGCTTTTATAACTCAAAGAACCAGAAGCATAAAAAGTTTATACCTAGTTTTAAGTGGTACATATTTAAATACTTAAATGTTTAATACTTAATATTTAAATGTTTATAGTATTAAACATTTAAATCAGACATGATATCTCTGA